GAAAATCTTGATCTTTAATCCCTTCAAATAATGCCCCACAAATTAATTTATCATTTTCTCTTCATCTCCTCTCAGAAACTCCTTTGCAAGTTTAACACTTTCCTTCAATTTTAACATAGTGTATAATTTTCTCTAAAAATTCAACAAAAAAATCTCTTCTTCCCATATCTTATCTATAGACAAATCTTTAAAGCATCATTCAGTCCTGGTCAAGAAAAGCCCATTAAAAGCTACTAGAAAAAACATCATATATATTTTAACCTTGATTGAATAAGCCAACTTTATAATCCTTCTTTTTGCTTTTAAAAGTCTTGATGATTATCCTTTTTTAAGTAGTGTCCCACAAACTGATTTTTTTTTTCGATTCTCTCTTTATCTTTTCTCAGGAACTTGTTCGTAAGTATAGCACATCTCTTTTGTAGATCCAAAATAAGGAAGTTGTCCAAGTCACTCTTCTGAATTGAAATCCACACATCTAGGTCACTCTTCTAGCTTATTATTTGTATGTTCCTTTTAACTATTAAAACATCAGCTGGTTTCATTTGTAAGTCCTTGTTGTCAATATCATTCTTGTAGCCTGTCATTTTTAAATCCATATCCAAAGCAGTCTGATTCTCACTTGTATCTGATTCTATCTCCTCTTTTAAATCAATTTTTATAATAGCAGACAAACTTAAGAGGAAGTTCTGAGTATATTGTTGCCAAATATCCTTGAATTCTTCCAGAGTTAAAATGCTTTTCTCCATTCTGCATTAATGGGTCTTCTCCTTTAATTATAACCTTTAGTTCTTTCTGGTTGCCTCTAGTAACCAGCCTTCAAAATCTTCTCTTATTGTGTTTTTCTCTAATCCACAATATTCCCATGGAAAGGTTTCTTACACTTAGATTCAAGATCTTCATATATTTTTAATAGGATTTTAAACAAACCACAGGAAGGATTCTTATAAATAGTTTCAAAATCTTAGTTTTCCAGTCAATCTGGCCCCTTAGTCCATTTATAACTTTCCAAAATCAACGTTCTAATCACCCTTTTGTTGCTTATTTCTGAATTTAAAAAATTTCTTTAAGTTCTTAAACTTACACGAAACTTCTTTCAGTGGGGACTGAAGGAGAATCACTGTGATGAAACTCGTCTTTCTACAAGTTCTTAATATCCAAAAACCAATTTACAAGCCATTTTCAGAAATAATTAAGAGAGGAAGCGAGCGAACCCTGTGTCTCTTTGAAGGCTCCAAACACCCATTTGGGCAAAGCTGACTCTCCCAGCTCCCAGAGCTCTAAAACCCATCAGAGACTGCTATTTTACAGTCTCATCACAGGGAGCATCTGTATGGAGCACTGTGGGCAGTCCCAAGTCCTCCCCTTTATCTGGAGAGGAATTTCAAGGGGCCAATCCATTCATCAGCTCCTTGTTCTGCCGCGGATGTTGGATCTGCTAAAATTGAAGCCATCTTCAGTCAGCCATTGCTTCCCTGGAAGTCAGAACTCTGAACTATCTTGAGATAGTAGTTTGCATGGTGTCCAACAGATGTTGAGTATCCCTTTAAAATTTAAAATAACCTTCAGTGCCCCTGTGAGTTCACTGGGGTGCCTTAGGGCACTGAGTAACACAGTTTGGGAACCGTGGCCCAAGCCTATTTCATTTATTGTTTGATTTGATTTATTAACCAGCCCATTCCAGATGAACAGGTTGTGTACATTTTTTTTAAAGAAAAGAAGTTAATATCAACAACAACAACAAAGTCTGGAACTGAGGACTCTATCTAATTGGCCTTCAAGGCTTTCTAAAGGAGTATGTTCTCTCAAACAGCTTCAGTTAGTCTGCGGCCAGCAATGCACCAAGCACATGCACTGGACAGTCAGCAGCAGTCAACAACACAATGTAGCACCTATCAAGACATAGCAGCAACAATTAGTCAGCAATCTCTCCTCCCTCCTTGGCTCTTCCTCTCTCTTTTGCCTCTTCCCAAACCTCAGTTGAACTTGCCTGCCAAACTCCTCTCTATCTGCTCACTCCCTGTTTGCTTGTTTCTTTTACTCCACTGAAAGTTTACTTTTTTATTAGACAATGGGAAATACATAAAGTGGGGTTGGAAGCTCATCGCAGTTATTGACATTTAAATTCACATGTCATAATGCAGCAAATATGAGAAATGCCACTTTACTATCCCCATGGTGAATAGAGAACTGAAACTACCATTCTACAACATTGCTATTGCTATATAGTATCCATCCTCGTGCTCCTTGAACTCTTGGCACTTTTGATACCATTGACCATGATATCTTTCTGAGCTTGTTCTGTGGGTTGGAGATTGGGGTCACCATTTTACAGTGGTTCTTTTCCTTTCTCCAGGGCCAGTTCCAGCTGGTGTTGGTTGCCAGGGAGAGATCATCCCCAGGCTCCTCCTTTGCGGGTGCTGCAGGGTTCTATTTTCTGTCCCCTTCTTTTCAACATCTACATGAAGCTGCTGGGTGAGGTCACCCGCTGGTTTGGAGTTCAATATCATCAGTATGCTGATGATACCCAATTGTATCTTTTGACTCCAGGCCAGCCAAGTGAGGCTGTCAATTTCTGCTCCAGTGCCTGGAGGCTGTGCAGGTTTGGATGGGGAGGAACTGTCTCAGACTCAATCCTACCAAGACTGAGTGACTGTGAGTGTTTGGGCTGCCCAGATCTAGGGATATTCCAACTTTGACTTTGGACGGGGTTGCACTTCCCAATTCAAGGGTGGTATGCAGTTTGGGGTTTTCCCTGGACTCACAGCTGCTACTTGATGAGCAGTTGGCAGGTGTCCAGGAAGGCCTTTGCCCAGCTTCATCTGCTGTGCCAGTGATGCCCTTTCCTAGATCAGGGAGTCCTTCAGAAAGTCACTCATGCCCTGGTCACCCCACAGCTTGACTACTGCAATGTACTCTACATAGGATTCCCCTTGAAGGCCAATTGGAAACTTCAGCAGCAGTGTGGACAATGGTGGGCATGCCTTGGTATGCCCATGTAACACCTCTGCTTTGTGAGCTGTACTGGTTGCCAGT